GAGGGAGGAGGAAGGGGGTGTGGGGGGTGGAGGGAGAGGAAGAGGGAGGGGAGAAGGAGTGGAGAGAGAAGAGGGAGAAGGAAGAGAGGGCTGATTTAACAAACATGTGAGAATACTTATCTAGCATCATTAACATCCCACATGACTAAACTGACTTTTATACAAGCATTTTCCAAAAGTGTCTTATAGTTACTTTTATAAAATAATTCTCTCGAGAAAATATTATGTGGTTAAATAGCTGAAAAATGTTACAAATCATATTTGCTGTGGTGACAAGGTAGTGGTTTTCACATACTGAAAACTCAAAAATAAATTTAGTAATCTTAACCAGATTTTTCAAATTTACTCACTGAATAGAGTATGCAAATATTACAGACTTAGTAACTTTTAAATGTTTGCAAACTTTCAAGAACTAGCAGCTATGCATAATGAGAGAAAAGTTTTAAGTATTTCACTAGCACATTGATTTATACTGTTTCACTTTAACAGATCTGAAATAAAGCCAGCTGGTGATGCACAACTGTAATCCCAGCTACTTGGGAGGCCAAAGCAGGATGATCATATATTCATGGCCAGCCTGGGCAATTTAGAGAAACCCTGTTTCAAAATTTAAAAATAAATTTAAAAGGGAGCTATGTAGCTCAGAGTGAGGTCCTGAGTTCATTTCCCAGTACCACCGGGGAGGGGGAAGGCGGGCCGAAACAAAACTGAAAGCACAGAACCTACATTTTTGAAAGTAATTTAACCCCCAAGAAAACAACAACTGCCTCAACTCCAAGAGCAGCAAGTATGATTCCATTGTATAACACAGCTTGTTCTTGAGTCCAAGCAAACATATCCATTGTTAATGGAGTAAGGATTCTAAGAAAAACAAAAAAAAATTTATTTTAGTCATAAAGTGAAGGATAAGCTTTAATGATACATACACATTCAAGAATTTGCATCCGTTTTAACAGTTACCCCAGACCAGCATAAGCAAAAGTTTGAGCACATTTTAAACACATGTTGCTACCTACCTAAGCTTGACTGTCTGTATTTATATAACCACATTGCAAAAAGTCTGAAAAATAGGAAAAGAAGACAAGCAAAACCAGCCATAACTTCTGCCATTGTAATATTACTAAATAAGCAAGGTGATACTTTGGTGTAAATTAATTTATTTCCCAGCCAGGTGTGGTGGCACACACCCAGGATCTCAGTACTCTGGAGTGTGAGGCAGGAGGCTTGCTTTGAGTTCAGGATGTGCTACATGAAATCAAGGCCAGTGTCAACAATACAGAGAGACCCTGTTTCAAAAAAAAAAAAAAAAAGAATGAATCTTTTATGGTAGCAGTACTGTGAACTTTGGGGAGTTATGCCTACATGGTCACCAGTGCTTCCCTTTAAACAGTATCTGCCTGCAAAAGGAATAACGTTGTCATATTTTTCAAAATCAGGAAATGGTTGCAGTTCTGGTGAAAGTCCTTTTGATGATTCTTCTTCTAGTACTGGAGATTGAACCCAGGGCCTTCAGGTGCAGCTACTTTATTATTTTTTATTTTGAGACAAGGTCTTGCTAAGTCGCCAAGTTTCCCAGGCTAGGCTCAAATATTCCATCCTCCTGCCTCAGCCTCCCAGAGTGCTAGGAATACAGGTACAGTTACCATGATCAGCCTGAAAGTCCATTTTTCTAGTGGCTTTTGTTTTCTCCTTACCACACCAGCGTACCTGTTCCTGGCTGTCTGGAACCGTTCCATAACATCTATTGTATTACTTAAATATGCAAACTTAGCTGGACATAGTATGTGCCTGTAAGTACAGTACTCAGGAGGCAGAAGGATCATAAATTCAAGGCCACCTTGGAGAGAGACCCTAATTCAAAAAGTAAAACAAGGGCTGGGGATTTAGCTCAGTGGTGCTGCCACTTGCCTCGCAAGAACAAGGTCCTGAGTTCAATCCCCAGCACACACACACAAAAAAAAACCACAACAAAAAATATCTTATCTAGTGCCTTTTATAAAATAAATAATAAATAAGTTACACTGCTAAAAAGTAAAATAACAAAAATTGGGAGGGGAGGAAAAGGAGATGAAAAAGAATACATGTGGTGTATGTACCAAGACTGCATGATGAACGTAATCATTATCTATTGCAAACACATACTAAGGAAAAACCTACAGTAATAAACTTCACAACTCTTTCCTATGTAATGTTACTATTTTTAAGTTATCAGAACCTACTCAATTTTCCCCACAGTCTCTTACATTCCCACATTTGAGTACACATACTTTTCTCCATACCTCTGAATATCTCTCGTCCTTTATATCAGTTTCTTTCTTTGCCAAGCTCCTTTTCCTATGTTCTAACTCCTGTCAACTGCCTACAAAATGGAGTTTTATACTTAAAATATTTTTTGAAAAAAAGAACAGCATTTTAAACTTTAAAATCTGATAAGGTAATGTAGAAAAGACAGTGGTAGTCTTTCATAAAGTTAAACATACAAGTAGTATGTGACCTAGCGTTTCTATTTTTAGATTTATGAATGATGATTTATGAATTTATGAATTTATTTTTAGATTTAAGAATGGAGAGCCAAGCCTCAGATACTTGTACAACATTGCTCACAGCAGCATTATTCAAAGGATGAATGGATAAAGTAAAATAAAGTAAAACACCAACAATGGAATATTATTCAACCAAAAAGCCATGAAAGTCTCCTATGTGCTACATGATGAACCTTGAAAATATCATGTTAAGTGAAATAAGGAGAACACAAAAAAGAAAATATTGCAGAATGTAATTTACCTAAAACTGGTAAATTCAGAAGAAAGAAGATGGGACAGAAGCTATGGGATCAGAGTGGAGGGTGAATGGGAAGCAAATCTGTAGTGGTTCAGAGATCCTGTTTGGGATGATGAAAAATTTCTGGAAACGGACGGTAGCTATGGTTGCACAACCCTAACCTGCACTTCATGACACTGAATTACACTCTTTAAAAAAGTTAAAATGAATGAAGCATAGTGGCACATGCCTGTAATTCCAGTACACTGACAGGCTGAGGCAGGAGGATTTCAAGTTGGAACCCAGCCTGCGGAATTTGGCAACTGATCAAGATCCTGTCTCAAAAATAAAAAAGGTCTGTGCCCATCAACTAGAGACTGGATAAAGATGATGTGGTTTTCTATAAAATGGAATACTACTCAGCCACGAAGAATGAGAGACTAGAGACATTTATAGCTAAGTGGATGTACACTGAGGCCATACTCTGAGGTGAAATAAACAGGATACGTGTAAATACCAAATAGTTTCTCTACTGTGAGAAAATGAAAGTATAAATGAGGTTGAAATTGTATAACTGATAATGTGAAATATGAATAAAAAGGCTAAAGGAATAAGGGAAGCACGAAGGGTAGGGGAAAGGAAAGGGAAAAGAAAAAAACATGAGAAAAGGTAAAAATGGGAACAAAATCTTTGTAAATAGGGAAGGATGGAGGGGGTGAAGGGAGGGCAGGGAAATGGGGAAAAAAATAAGAACCAAGATACATCATGTAAAGGTACAAGATCCTAATGACAAATGTAACTATTGTATACCTAAAGTACCAATAAACTTAATGAAAAATAAAAAATAAAAAAGGTTTGGGTTTGTAGCTCAGTGCGAAGACCCTGGCTCAATCCCTAGTACTGAGAAAAAAAATTAAAGCAGTAGATACCCCCCACAATAATATGAGCTAAAATATTCATTTATCTCAATAATTTTCAAAGTAAATACATCAAGCAAATTACATGTACTGACATAAAAATGTCACAATATACTGATAAGGCCAGATGTCAAATGATAACATCATATAATCTATGTGAGTTTAGTAAATATTCTCTCACAGAGGTGCACAGAATAAAATGTGTGAAAACACAAACTAAAGTGTCACAGTGGTTACCACCACAGAAAGAAGCAGATGCAGAAGCACAGCTGGAACATATGCAATTTTTTTTTTTTTGTACTGGGATCGAACTCAGGACTTTACACGTGCGAGGCAGGTGCAGTGCCACTGAGCTAGATCCCTGGTCTAGTGTCTGGAATTTTATGAGAATGTACTATTTTTATAATTTAATAGGTTTCTTTAAAATAGAGGGCCCTATGATAAATAGAAGTCAATGAAGCCTGAGATAGGAGATTTTGTAATATACTAGTTCCTTGTTTTTAAGTTAAAAGATTAAATAAAGAGTTAAAACTGTCAGACTCAAAATACATAACCTGGGAGTTATGCAGCTTTAAGTTAATGAAATCATGATACATAAACTTTTCACATTATGCTAAGAAAAATGTCTTACAGTTTCTTATAAAATGTATAATCCTAATTAGCACTGCATTAAGTGATAAATTTAATATGTAATTTGATTTACACGAAGACAGAATAAAACTTACGTTTCAAAAAGGGCAAAGATAAACAGAACCACAAAAAAGAGAACATTGGTGGCCACAACAGCAAACTGATCAATATTTCCTTGTGAAATCTGAACTTCCTCTGTATTTGCTAGAGATAAACAGAAAAAAGAATATAGTTACCTATATATTTAATTTTTATTGATACTAAAATAGTGTAGAAATTATATGTGAATAAATATTTAAATAATTTTAAGGCTGCAAAGCTGTTTAAAAGGAACAGAATCTAGCCTGCTGTAGGGGTGCATACCAGAAGGCTGAGTGAGGTAGGAGGACTGTTGCATGTTCAAGGCCAGCCTGGGCTATGAAGTAAATTTAAAGCCAGCCTAAACTACACAGTGACATCTTGTCTCAAAAATAACTCAAAACAGGGCCGGGGATTTAGCTCAGTTGTTCCAGCACCTGTCTCGCAAGCACAAGGACCAGAGTTCGATCCCCGGTACCAGAAAGAAAATGGAACAGAAATTATAATTTTTAATTAATATTTAAAAGTAAAATGATTTTTTTTCTAGGAGATGAACTTATATTATGTACAGCAATTACTCATATTTATTTTGTTTGGTGTATCTCAATCAAAAATAAGAATGTATTTGGGCCAGGGATTTAGCTCAGCGGTACCACTGCCTGCCTCACAAGCACAAGGTCCTGAGTTTGATTCCCGATATCACTCCCTGCCAAAAATACTGTATTTTATGTAATTGTATAACAAAGTGATTTCATACTTCAAATTTCAGTTGCAGTTGTTTTTTTCTACTTTAATTTTTTTTGTGTGCGTGGTACTGTAGACTGACCACAGAGCTTCACATTTGCTATGCAATTATTTTATCACTTAGCTACATTCCTAGATCTTTGGATGTTTTAAATTCTGAGACAAAGTCTCACTTACTCAGGCTGGTCTTGAACTTGTAATCCTCCTGCCTCAGCCTCCTGAGTAGTTAGGACTACTGGTATAATGAGCCAGTACACTTGACATATATTGATAACTGGCTTTATATTTATATTTAATACTCTTTTATGTTGAATTTCTGGAATCCTGACTATTATACGTCTTGGTGTCTTTTTATTATTATTATGACTAGTTGGAGTTCTTTATGCTTCACTTATGTTTATGTAAATTTTTTTTCTATGCTTGGGTAGTTTTCTGCCATTACTTCTATGAACAGTTTTTTTTATGTCACTTGTGTTATCTCCTGCTTTTCACTGTCTCTAAACAATCTTCATTTATTCTTAATAAAGCAGGAGGGCAAAATGAGTGTACTGATTTCGCTTGAAGCTCAAAGTTAAACTACATACTTCCCATAAGCTATTATAACATAACTGAGAAGTATGCAAACTATATACATCTACTTACTCAGCATAAGCCATTTAAGCAGTAAGAGGATGTGCTTGCTTATTCTATCTTTAGTGTATGTGGAATGGCAATGGTACACACAGATTTCCTATGGCACAGAAGTTTCCATAACAGTGCCTATACTATGTGCGGATTCCTAAGGAGGAGTTGCTCTATGTGGAGGGAATTACAAAGCTTAGACATTCAACCTAGGCTTCTGACCTTGCTTTCTAGTCACACAAAGAAAGGTCGCGGATATAGCTCAGTGGTAGAGTGCTTGCCAAAACCCAGCAGTACTAATCACACAAAGAACTGATCACCACTGTTGACATCTTTAATTAATATATCAAAAATGCCCTGAGTCAGACGGAATTTGCTTCATGTATGGTTAATTTCCTGCAGCCTCCACCTACAGTTGGCTTTAATGAAGGATCTCAAAAATATATGATACACTGTGAGCACTGAGTAGGTATCTTAATTATAAGAATTTTAAGAAACGACTACCTTACTATATTGATTTAAATTTATGTAATTGGAAATTATAGTCCTATCCCGTAACTTCTTTAAACTTGAATACTGTTATGGTTTGTATTTGAAATGTCCCACAAAACCTCATGTCTTGGAGGCTTGGTCCCCATTGCAGCAATGTTCAAAAGTGGGGTTTTGGAAGGAGACTAGACGGTAAAGGTTCTAAAGTCAGTGATGGTGCATAATTTGCTATACTTCCTGGGTAGTGATGGGAATGTAGAAAGTGTGGTTAAATTGAAGTGAGTAGGTAAGAGGGTGTGCCTTGGGGACCGTATCTTGTCCCTGGACCATTCTCACCACTGTGAGGTGAACTTTTTGCTCCACCACAGGCTCCCCAAGAAGACAAAGCATCTTACCACAGGCCTAAAATAATGAAGCCAAAGACCATGGCCTGAAACCATGAGCCAAATAAATCTCACTTCATTTAAGTTGATTTTCTCAGGTATTTTGTCACACTGATGAAAGTCTAAGATAAATATTTTTTTCAACTTAAATGAGTATGGAAGTTTTTAACAGGTACATTTTAGACAAAGATGTATTAAAATTTAAAAATGATTTTATATGAAAGTGCCTGGTAAAATAGCAGTATGTCTTTTCCATAATATTATAAATTTGTTGAGAGCAAGTACCGAGTTTCATTCTTCACTGGGAAAACAATGCCCAAGGAGTATTTCAAGGAGTACTTGCCCATAATTAGTACTTAAATAATAGCTTATTTGGCAAAATATACCTATTTAACAGAATGGGTACATTTCTGAATCAGGGGAAGATCTAAAGGATGAAAATATACATTGGTAAATTATAATAAAAGCATAAAAGTAAAAAAATAAACGCCATACTTATTATGATTAAGAACTGCTTGAAACAGAAAGTCAATTTTGGTAGCAGTTTTTGAAATCACTCCAAAATCTCAAAAGTTTTAAGATACTACTCTGAAAAGAAGACAAAGTGATTTTTTTTTTTTTTTTTTTTTTTTTTTTGTGGTACTGGGGATTGAACTCAGGACCTTGCACTTGCAAGGCAGGTGGTGGAACCAAGCTAAATCCCTGGCCCAAGACAAAGTGATTCTTAACACTGGTTTTAACCTTGCCAATCATGAACAACTTAGAGTTGGGGAAGAAGCACATTCCTATAATCTCAGAGCCGTGGGAGCTGAGGTAAAAGGATCACAATTCCAAGCCCACTCTGGGCCACTTAGTGACTTCATGAGACCCTGTCTCAAAATAATGGGCTAGGGAAGTCCTCAATTCAATCTCCAGTACTACAGAAACTAACTAAAGAAATAAATGGCTGGGATGTAGCTTATTGTGAAGGCCCTGAGTTCCTTCCCTAGTATTATCTACGAAATAAATTTAGGTACCTTTTAGCTTTCAAGATCTTCCCCAGCCAAACACTGCATTATCCTCAGAAGAAGAATCCAAGTAAATACTAAACAGACGCAATCATAAGAAGCACTCTGATAATGTTAAAGTAATTTAATCAAATAAATTAGTACCTGCTCCAAAATTAAGACTTTTATATGGTTGTCCTGAGTCATCCACACGATGTTCTCTTAAAAAGAAAAACAAAAATATTTCTTTATAAAATGCTTAGTATAATTTAGGAAAATGGTTTATTTATGTATGTATTTATTTTTTGAGACAGTCTCGCTATATAGTTCAGGCTGGCCTTGAACTTACTATTTAGCTCAGGGTGGCCTCAACCTCACTGAGATTCTTCTGCCTCAACCTCCCAAGTACTGGGATTATGGGCATGGACCATTACACCTGGTTTAAATTTATTAGTAGCATTCTGTTTTTTTTTTAATGGTGTCAAAAGCTTATTTGAAAAGTGAAGAGTGAATGGGAATGTGAGAAACCAGCTCTGCAGAGTAAACTGCCCCAAGAGAAAAAAGATAAAAGCAAAACTAAAAGTACATCTGCATTTGGGCAAAGTGGTATGTGCTACAATGTGAACTCACAATAGCTAGCATTCTATTTTTTCACATTCTTGTATAGTTTTTTTTTTATTACTAATGACTATAAATAATAAACTTTAAAAGATAGGGTTTTTTTTAATTCATTAAGTTTATCGGTACATTTTAGTTATACAATATGACATTCATCATTGGGATCCTTGGTACCTTTACATGACCTATCTTCTTATTTTTTTCCTATTCCCCTGCCCTCCCTTCAACCTCTCCACCACTCCGTATTTACAAAGACTTTGTTTCCATTTTTTCTTTTTCTCTTATTTTCTTACTTTTCCTTCTTTTCATTCCCTACCCTCTCCCACTTCCCCTTCCCTTCCCCTTTGGACCTTTTCTTCCTATTTGTTTTTTTTTTTGTTGTTGTTACTGGGGCTAGAACTTGGGTCCTTGTGTTTGCAAGGCAGGCGGCAGAACCAATGAGCTAAATCCCCAGCCCTTTTTCTTCCTATTTCACATTATCTAGAACTTGGGTCTCTTTGGTTTTTGTTGTACTGGGGATTGAACCCAGAGCTTACACACTGGGCTACATCGCAACCCTTTCTTTTTTTCATTTTGAGACATGGTCTCATTAAATTTCCCAGGTTGGAGTTTAAACTTACAATCCTGCCAAAATCTGTCAGAGCATTGGGATTACAGGCATGAACCACCAATTCCAGATATAATTCTTATCATATTAACATTATAAATGAAAAAGACACCTAATTCACCTAAAAGCATGTATGATCTTACCATTAATTTTTCAGTGATTTTAAACATACATTGTTTTTGGACAATTGGATAAGGCACTCTAAAGAAGTATAAAGTAACACAACTTCTGTAGTTTTGGAAAATTTTTTCTAATATGTAAAAGGTAAGAGACAAGTAATCTATGTATTTAAGGCTGACACTAAGCCATTAATCTACTGAGGATGTTGTTTACATGCCATTCTCTTACTTAGAAATAGTTTTAGTAAATCAAGACCAAACTTTGAATCTTGAAAGATCTTCATAATCTGTTCTCAATTAACAAGTTGCCTACTATTGTAGACGCCCATACTTTAGCTAATCAAAAAATATGAACACATGGGTCAGAGATTTAGCTCAGTGGTTCTGCTGCCTGCCTCACAAGTGCAAGGTCCCTAGTTTAATCCCCTTAAAAAAAAATAGAATACAAACTAAAGACATCAGAAGTCAAATAAAGACTGCAAAGGGTAATTACCCTCCAATAATGAAAAGGTTTATGAAATTTCATAAACTACAAAAGAGCTTACCATTTCTGTCTAATTACCTTAATACAGCAAGGATCAGAATAATATTTAAAACTCCCAGGATTGCGCCAAGTAAAACTGGTGCGGTGTACATGTTTATCTGCAGCTTAATCACATCCCATGTCACACCCTTTTCTCCAATCAGTGCAAAACAAGTCTGAAAAACTTATTAAAGTGTACACAAATTATTACATCAGAAAAACAAGCTAAAAAATATAAAACACCATTGAATTTGAAGTAATGTGGAATCATCTATCGACATCATCCAGACTCTTCACAAGCAACAAAACTTGTTCTGTTATATACATTTTATATATAAAGCACAGAGGTACACATACACATAAATATCTGGTAGACTAATAAATTATTAGAATTTCAGAAGGGATAAAGGGATTAAGACACAAATGTATAAAATTAGGACACGTTAGGGAAGCAATAATGAAAAAGGTCAAGACACTGATGTATGTACATTCATAAGGGATTGTATCTATCTAACGTGATTTATCAGTGTCTTCTCTTCTTTTTTACAGGGGGTAGATGGTGGTTCTGAGAACTGAACCCATAGCCTCATTTATGCCAAGCACAGACTCTACCATGGAGCACCCACCCAGCTCCAATGTCTGCTTGTCTTTTAAAAAACAAAAACAAAAGCAAAAAATTCCACATGAAATTTAAATTCTATAGCTTCTTAACAAGGCACCATGGCATACCCCTGTAACCACAGCACTAAGGGAGGCTGAGACAGGAAGACAGCAAATTCAAGCCCTGCCCGTACAACACAGCAATTCAGTGAGACAATGTCTCAAAATTAAAAAAAAAAAAAAATTTAAGAAAGACTGGGAAATGTAGCTCAGTGTAAAAGCCGTAGATTCAATCCCCAGTACTGCAAACAGACGGACAGACAGACATAGAGGGATGGCAAGCAAGCTTTTAAGATGATCCATAATATTTACTGAAAGCTTTTGTCTATAGCAGGTACTTTGCTCAATATTGAAGGTAGATATCAAAAGACTCAGATAAAGTCCTTATATAAAATAGAAGACTAAAATTCATTTATTTTATATTTGTGTTTATATTTGTTGTAGAATACTAAACCAAATTATTAGGTTTTTTGGTAAACCCAGGAGTTAGATTCTCTTTTGCTGAGCGTTTTTTTTTTTTTTTAGTTACTCAGGATTAAACACAAACACTCTACTATAGAGCTATATCCATAACCTTTAATCTTGAGACAGTCTTGCTAAATTGCCCAGGCTGGCCTCAAATTTGCGATCCTCCTGCCTAAGTCTCCTGAGTAGCTGGGATTACAGGTTGAGCCACCATGTCCAGCATTCTTTTTAAAAATCTAAATTGAAGGAAGTAATGGAAACTAAGGTGGGGATGAGATATGAATAAGGTAAACTGAGTTATAGCCAAACTGATTATATAACCATAATATTCAAACCATGAACCAATTATATGTGTACATAGTTCTATGTTATTGAATATTATTCCAGGCACAAGACTGATTTTTCTAATCAGTAAAATTAATTTGCCTTGCAGAAGTATTAAATCTCACTTTTTAAAAGTTCTCAGCAAAAGGATAAAAGCTTTGGGAAAAGATAGTAAGCTTTTAAAAGTTCTTTCATTTTCTTCAATCTAAGAAAAGTCTTAAAGATAAGGGCAAGGCATAAAAAGGAAAAGAACTTCCTTAAATCCTTCAGTTGAAAAAACTTTCTTCCCAATAAATGGAAAAAAGAAAATAAACTCTTGTAAAGATATCAAGCTAAAGGATTATTTGAAAGAGTCAGAAAGAGTTAGTTGACTTTTGCACATGGGGAAGGGACCAAAATATGGAGGGAAGTGTGAGGTGGGAGAAGGTAGAAGACATAAAAAGAATTAAGATGATATGTACATGCATCAACTCCCGCAATGAATATAATTATTATGGACCACAAAGATTTACTAACAAAATGTGAAAAAAAAAAGGTTTGAAGCCCATTATTTCCCTTTTCTATCTGGAAATTTTTTTTTACATGCTCTATCCCTTGGTGTCCTCATCTGTAAAATGGGAAAAATCACACTTAATTTAATTTAGAGATGTGTTACCAAGGTAAAATGAGCCTAGCCTCCTTCCTGGACCAAAAATAACAGACTCTTTCCCTACTGAGGAGGCAGAGTGGAAGAGTCCTTGCCTGGCATATCTAAGATCACAGGTTGGATTCCCAGCATATTAAAAAACAAAAAGTTTCTTCCCTTTTTCCCTTCAACCGCAAGGCTTTATACTTGCATTACATTTAACATTTGAACCTCAAAAGTTTCCCCAGGAAGGTGGGGAGGGAAAGGAGATAGAAAAAAGAATTAAGACACATTATGTACCTCAGTGGTGCCCCACCTGTCTCTCAAGCGCAAAGTCCTGAGTTTGATCCCTGATACGCCCCCGCCAAAAAATACATACACAGAAGGAATTTAAACATTATATACTATAAACATGTAGTAATTAAATTTTTTTCCCAATTTATTATTTTTTTAAGTTTATTGGTACATTGTAGGTACACAATATGATGACATTCATCACTGGGATCTTGGACCTGTACATGGTGCATCTTGGTTCTTATTTTTTCCCCATTCCTCTGCCCTCCCTTCAACCCCTCCATCCTTCCCTATTTACAAAGACTTGTGTTTCCATTTTCTTTTCTTTTTTTTTGGTACCAGGGATCGAACTGGAGCCCCTGCACTTGCAAGGCAGGGGCCGGCACCACTGAGCTAAATCCCGGGCTCTCCATTTTCTTTCTTTTCTCATATTCATTCCTTTAACCTCCCCCTCCCTTCTCCAATTCCCCTTTCCCTTGCCCTTTGGACTTTTTCTTTGTATTTCACATTACCTATTATACATTTTAATCTTTATTTACAATTTAAATGTTATAAATTACATGTGAAAACACCTACCTGGACCTAGAATAAAACCTAATGCTTGACATGTGCTTGTATTAGCCATGGAACTTGTTCTTTCCTGAAGGGAAGTAGCACCAGCAATATATGATCTAACAACTGCTACATTTCCTAAGAAAAGTCAGAATAATCCAAAGTAAATGCAAATATCTTTTGGTTTATAAAATTCAATACAATTTGGTTTTATGCAGGATAAATATTGGCCAACAGTACGGTTACTTCTTCCCCTTTTACAACACATGTAAGATATTTTTATTGAACAAATGCATGAATTAATGGGACATGTACTTTTAGTAATATGAAAACATAGTTTTGAATGAATGAAAAAAATGGCATTATAAAAATATAAAAAGACAAGGGGAAAAAATGAGAACCAAGACCTGGCATGTAAAGGTACAAGATCCCAGTAATGAGGTTACTTCTTCCCCTTTTACAACACATGTAAGATATTTTTATTGAACAAATGCATGAATTAATGGGACATGTACTTTTAGTAATATGAAAACATAGTTTTGAATGAATGAAAAAAATGGCATTATAAAAATATAAAAAGACAAGGGGAAAAAATGAGAACCAAGACCTGGCATGTAAAGGTACAAGATCCCAGTAATGAATGTAACTGTACTGTCTACCTATAAAACATTCAAGCCCCGGTACAAAAGAAAAATAAAAAATAAAAAAAAAAATAAAACTTTAAATATTCAGAAAGCTCTGACTGAATGACACAGTACTTATTGCTACAACCAATTTTAAAAGAGTATACTTTTTTACAAAAAGTATACTAACTAGTAAAAAAGCGTGAAAGCAGTGCAACACTAAAAGCAAGTGCCAAAGACACAATAAAGAAAATCATCTATTAAGGAGTAAGGTAGCCTGAGAAGGCTTCATGTAAAATGTGGAACTTAATCTGCATCTTGAAGGATAAAGAACAACGAGAAAAGAGAATCTTTAGGTAATGGGTACATCAGGTACAAAGGCAAATGACAGGAAAACTCTTACACCTTTCTGAGGAGAGATGTGTATGTTGAGCTATAGGCGATGAGATTGAGAAGGTAGGAGGCCAGAGGAGAGGGGGCCACAAATATCAGGATGAATGTGAACCGGATATGACCAAACATATACAAACAAATATGTTACCTGCTCCAAATCCCACCAGTCCACGAGCAATCAACATGTAGTATTTATTATGAGAAGCTGGGACATGGACGTAAGCATAGAGGCAGTTGGCTGCCACCGAAATAAAGATGGAGATGATAAGAGGTTCTTTTCTCGGCCTATAATTAGACCATAAACCAAATATAGGTGAAGCTACCATCTGGCCAAGACTAAATGAAGCAATAACCCAGCCCAAAAAACTTGCATCGGCTGACTGATCAATCTGCAGAAAAAAAGTACAATGCTTTAAGAATTGTTATCCAACAAAGTTTAAAACTTAGCACATTTGTTTGAACATGTAAAATTTCCTAATAAAAAATAAAAACAATTCTAACATAAAGCTTTGTAACAGTATTATTCATAGTAAGAAATTCAAACTTCTGATGATAGCATTAAATGTACAATGAATTGTACACAAGGAAAAAATGCTTGGAAAGTTTCATCCTTTAAGATGATTATATCTCAATAACTTCATAAAATATTGGATGAGATATTCTTTAAATCTTATGAATGCAATTCTTGACATTTATATTTCCCCATAAACACCCATTAGTATCATCATCATCATCATCATCATCATCATCATTACTACCTTTGGAATCAGGGATTGAACTTGGGTCCCTGCGCTTGCAAGGCAGGTGGCAGAACTACTGAGCTAAATACCTCGCCCAGCATTATTTTTTTTTTAAACTGGGCACAATATTCAAAAGTGTAAAACACAAAAGTTATAGTTATTTCTCTTATTAAAACTATCACAAGTTCTTCTACATACACAATTCAGGATTTCACCCACTTAGAAGAGGTTGGATTTTGTTTTGGGAATTTTTTTTTTTTTTGGTAGCAAGGGTCGAACTCAAGACCTTGCGCTTGCAAGGCAGGCTGGGCACCACTGAGCTAAATCCCTGGCCTAGGATTTTGTTTTTTGTTTTCACAGTGCTGGGGATTGAACCCAGTGCCTCATGCATGGTAAGCACATGCTTCACCACTGAGCTATGCCCTTGCCATAGAGAGGATTTAAATATCATGATGAACATTGAAGGAAGAAACATATGACTGAAATTCAGAAAAAAATACATTCAGGAAAAACTTTAAGAAAATGAACTAATATAAATCAACAGATTTTTTATTGGTTCCTAGGATTGAACTCAGGACCTTGTGCTTGAGAGACAGGCACGGTGCCACTGAGCTAAATCCCCAGCGCCAGATTTTTTAAAAATATAGTAAACTATATAATGGTTTGGAAAAATTACCATTAATTTTTAGAAAATACTTTTAAACAAATGTAAGTGGTAGAACAACAATAAAGAAAAATCATGGCCCTTTCTTTCCTAAAGATACTTTTAAGTAGCTTAAAACAAACATTTAGGTGCAAGTCAAGTGTGGTGGTGGATGCCTGCAATCTCGGCACTTGGGATTCTGACAAGACAACTGCTGTCAGTCCAAGGCCAGTCTGGGCTACATAGTGAGAGACTCTCTCAAAACCACCCCCCGCAAAATGAAAGAAAAGAAAAAGAATATCTTCAGTTTAGGCACTCTAATTTTCATTTTCTACTCAGGAATAGTACTTTTAGCTTCTTTAGTCTTCTCTATTAAATACAAACTAATGATTTCATATCAAAATTTAATTCTCAGAATATCAATGAAAACTGAATTTTAATGTTAAATGTTTAGTGATTAGAAGACAAAATATCTTCTCAGGAGATCAGCTGATCATAGTCAAGAGTTCACTTTATGAAGAGAAGTGAGGTGACCCTTGGGAATGGCTCTATAGTATCTGCTAGAGACTGGTGGAAACTTTCCTTCTAACCGGATAGTATTCTTTACCAGTGACTGCAAAGGCGATATCTGCTATATTCTGTTCCAATTCTAACAAGAAAGTAAAATGCTTTGGGAGACACAGACTATGGTGGGTGTCACTCAGGCACTGTTATCTGCACCCCTGTACATTTCTCTCCCTTACAACAGAAACAGCACATCGTGTCTCTCTCTGGTCCTCTGTCCAGCTCTGATGATCTGTATCATGCTGTTTTCAGAATCAAATTGAAACCAGTTATTATTACAAAGTAGATCAAAAGTTAACCTGGCTCTGCAGCCTCAAGTCTGCATGTTCTTTCCCCTCCAGTCATGAAACTGAGGTTTCCAAGCTGAACCAAATTCTGTGCCTCTGGGCCTTTCTGCACCGGCTGTTCCACCATCCCTTTTCTCAGGATTGCCTTCCCCACCTCTCATGCCCTCACCTCCACCTTTCTTCTGCAGGGCTGCAAAACTCAACTCATGTGTTGCTGATTTTTCAAGTCCCCAGGAGGTCTTCATTAGGATTAGCAACACCACAAGCTGCCAATGTCTCTCTCACATGTGCACACACAACCACACTTTTAGGTTTTTACCTGTTTGTAATATTGCAAAGTAATTATGTGTCAACTTGTTTAGTTTTGCTTACCTCAGTTAAAGTACCTAGGGCTTCTTTAAAAAAAAAAAAAAAAAGCTGGGCGTGGTGGCACATGCCTGTAATCCCAGCACTCAGGAGGCTGAAGCAGGAGGATCACTGTGAGTTCGAGACCAACCTGAGCTACACAGTGAGTTCCAGGTCAGTCTCACACCAGTGCTTTCTTCTCTGAAAACAGACATATGTGTGTGTGTGTGTGTGTGTGTGTGTGTGTGTGTGTGATCATTTCAAGTTCAACTACAGTATTTTCAATTATTGCTCACTTATTCAATTAATAGTCACTGAGACTGCCAGGTGTGGTGGTGCATACCTGTGATACCAGGACACATGAGGCTGAGGCAGGAGGATCACTCTGAGTTCAAGGCTAGCCTGGGCTAAACAGTGAGTTCAAGGTCAGCCTGGATTCCTTAAAAAAGCACACACTCACACACAAAGGCACTTAGGCCTTCTCTGTAACAAAAACTTACGTGAGGCAATAGGGATATAAAAATGAATACATAGTCTTTGTCATCAAGGAGTTTCCCAGCCAGGTTCTACTTATCTGGGACTGAGAAATCCTGGTGGGCTGGGAAAATAAATAGTATGCTTTAATTCTTCATCTGTCAAATAAGGATAACTGCACAGAGCTGTTATGAAAATAATTTGAGCCAAAATACATATAGTGCTTAATAGTATGTCAGCATATAGTACCCACTGAATGAATGCTACATCTACAAGAACTATTTCTCAGCATTTTGTTTTACTAATGTCATTTTTCTTATCATGTTATAGTAATATAACTCATGTATGAGTATTCCCCTCAATACCGTGGGGCTACAGAATTCCCGTTCATTCCAATTCATTATCTGGATTTCAAGAATGTGAGTCTCCCCGGAGATTAACCTCACCCTTGGGCAGCACATCCTAAGACATCATGTCACTGCTTCCTACCTATGGGCCAGGGCAGCAAGTACACGTTCAGAATACTACCAGATTTGATTGTGTCTTCTGAAGAGAGATTCTGATGAGATATTATCTTTCACACAGATGGCTTTCAAACCAGGCAATACGGTGCAACATACTATTCTATATGAGCAAGTTACCTTAAATTAAGAATTAAAAATATTCAAGGCAGTACGTGACACAGAACTTTTTAGTTTTTTTGTTTTGTTTTTGAGGCAGATCCTTGTGTAATACAGGCTAACTCACTACGTAGTACAAAGTGGCCTAGAACTCACGATCCTCCTGCCTCAGCTGAGTACTGGGATTACAGGTGTGTGCCACCATGGTTGGCCAGAAAAGTTGTTTTTGTATTGCTAAAACAACAATTATCCATTCACATACTCAATAAACTTACCTGTGAAAAGCATGAAAAGGACTGCACCTTTTCAAAATTCAACATATTGTGCTAAGTAGAACTATTCCTTACAAATACCCTTTCTTGGGAGACTTTTGGAGCTTAAAAAGACTAGATAAGATGCCAAGAATCAAAGGAATTTTGTTACACAGAAATATTTTTCAAATAAATATTTTACTTTAGAATAGTTTCCTCTTTTTTTAGACTAGTTTTAGACTTACAGAAAATAATATACTATAGAGAGGTCTTATATCTTCCATAACCAGTTCCCCTACTATATCCCATAGAACATTTTTTAGGTATTACAGGTAATCTAGAAATGATTAAAATTACAGGATGACATATGCAGATTAAATACATCATTTTATAAAAAGGACTTACCCGAGCATTCAGATTTTGGTATCCTTGAGGGCGGGAGCTAAAACTAATTCCCAAAATTTACCAAGTAACAACTGCATAGTACCTACTTTTCTCACAAATGTTACCTGACAACCCAAATTAATTCTATGAAAAAAGCATGAAATTATTTCTCAAGAATTATCCACTATACATTTTAGGAATTACATTATAGATTAGGAATATCTCTAGGTCAGTTTCCTTTTATTTATTTATTTATTTATTTACTTACTTACTTATTTTTGGTTTTTTTTGAGACAGGGTCTCACTATGTAGTTGAGACTGACCTGAAATTCACTATGTTGCCCAGGCTGGTCTCGAACTCACAGTGATCCTCCTGCCTCAGCCTCCCTAGTGCTGGGATTACAGGTGTGAGCCACCACGCCTGGCTAGTTTCTTTTTTATTAGGAAGGATAGTGATAGGATGTAGTGACTGTCCAGGAACATCTCAGTGTCCTAGAGTAGCACCACTTTTATTCCAACTGTGTTCTGCTTTGAACAATAAAGCATCTGGTCACCCTAGTTGCTCTTTTACATCAAGTTACTATGGAGATTCTCAGGCTGGGATTTAGCACAGTGGTTCCACACGGCCTACCTCACAAGCAAAAGGTCCTGAGTTCAATCCCCAGTACCAAAAAAACAAAAACAAAACAAAACAAAACAAAACAAAACAAAAAACTAGGAAAGGCTTAAGCACATAAGAATTACTACTAGTATAGTTACTTCAGAGGAGAATAGATTGAAGTATACAAACCTTTTGGAGATAAGGCCATATTGACATTATCACAATAGAAAACCCTGTGAAGAGGCAAACTTTGTTATTTATAATTATAGTATTTTAATCACTATTATAAAGAAAACTTTTGGAACTATAGCATGGATTTTAAAATATCCTAAATTTGTAAATTTATGCACATATATCCCCAATTTATCAGGCAATGAAATTTCAGTTGTCAGTAGAAAAATAAATACTAAAGGTTTGAAAGAACATAGAATTATATTATCTGACCAGTAATACAATAAAAGTTGAAGGCCTATTTCTCGTTACTGTACCTTTACTATAAAATGGAAATTACTGAAAATTTGAAGTTTTACAGCACAAATGAAAGAAAGGCCATAAGTCTGTGTTGTTTGAAAGAAAGAATTTACTGTAAGGGAGACTAAGAAGAAAAACATTCATTTAAATAAAGCAAGCAGTTGCTATAAAGAACTATAATACTTCAAGGTGACTACCCCTTAAAAAGAATTAATTGCTGGGGATTTAGCTTAGTGGTTCCACTGCCTGTTTCGCAAGTGCAAGAACCCGAGTTTGATCCCTGGTACCAAAAAAAAGGGAAAAGAAACGGATTATGGATTATTTTGCTAACCATTTACTGCTTAAGAACTGTCATGATAAAGTCCAACACCATTTATGTTTTAAACAAATTTCAAAGTTAGATAAAGCCAGACAGAGATTCTAGAAAGCCTACTTTCAAAACAGATTTATTGAAACAGAATTCACAAGCCAAGCAATTGACCCATTTAAAGTAAATGATTTAATGGATTTTAGTATAATTAGATATGTGCAACTATCACTATCATCTATTTTAGAATGTTGTCATCATTCAGAAAAGAAATTCTGTAGCCTTTAGCGATTACCCAGAGATTATCTTTGATCGTCTCTCCCACCAACCCAAAGCAACCCAATCACCAGTGTACTTTCTATTCTACAGATGTTTCTATTTTAAACCTTCATGTGAATAGGCTCACATCTGTGGTCTGTGTCTGGCATCTTTCACTCAGCATAATGTTTTCAAGATTCATCTATGTTAGCAGCATATGTCAGTAAGTACTTCATTCTTTTTATAAAACTTATTTTTCAAGATTTAGTTTCATTCTTATGCCTTTTGAATTGACAAATTGATTTTGATAAATAAGTGACTGAAAGAATCTGAAATCAAGGTAACAATTTTACAATAAAGAAACTTGTAAACAAGTAAAATGTTCAACAAATTAAAATCTCAAGTTAAGGGATTGGGGCTATATAGCTCAGTGGTACTGTATGCTCCAAAGCCTGTGTTCCATACCTAGTACTGGTACACACACAGGCAAAAAGGAACATACTCATAAATGTGAAACTAATTTTTTTTCTCTGCTGTTAAACTGAAATTGCATCTTAGATAACTGAAAAAAAAACTAGAAGTGGCAAGGCACAGTGGTACATACCTGTGGTCTGCTACTGGAGTAGAAGGTGTTGCTGAGGCAGAAAAGTGAAACTCTGAGGACAGCCTGGGCAACCTAGGGAGTCCTTGTCTCAAAATAAAAATTTAAAAGGGCTGGGAATTAGCTCAGTGGTAAAGCACCAGTCTAGCATGCTGGGTAGATTAAATACCCAGTATTAAAGATTAAACAAAAACAAACCCACTGAAAGTGTTTTCACTCACATGGGGGTAGGTTTACTTGTGAACCTCAGTCTATATGAAGACTTTGGAAAAGGATTCCTTTTGTCTACAGAGGTTTTAAAATAAGTATCTTTCAAATCAACAAAAATTGTCATAGATGGATATAACACCTGCAACTGATCCAGCAATCTTGCTATAGCCTAAGAATTAAGCTAGTGCATCACAGAGGGTAAAACCAAGAGCTAGTGAAAGAGCCAAAACCCCCAATGACCTTCACCTGGAATTATTCTATTACACACATCTTATAATAAATAATAAATTATATTATAGCCAACCGATTCAACATTTTTTTCTGATATTTGCACAAAGCATCCTAACTAATTTACAATGCAAGATGAAACTGTATTATAAAGAATTGCCGAAAATATCCTTTACCACTCACTTTTTATTTTTTTGTGGTACCAGGGATCAAACTCAGGTCCTTGTGCTCGCAAGGCAGGCAGCAGAACCACTGAGCTAAATCCTCGGCCCTACCATTCACTTTTTTATCCTTAGCTTTATTTACAACATATTTTTACCCAATGTTGAATTATGAATAAGACGGGCAAGTGAGAGAAAACAGGAGGATGATACATTTTAGAGAAAAAAAATCACTTGTAAAATTAATTAATATCTACTGATTTAAAGGGTCTAAACTTGGAAAAAATAATTCTCTAAAATTTATTTACAAACTATCACAGTAAAAATTTTATATATTCTCATCTTTTTCTTCTTTTTCCTTCCCTTCTTCTCTTCTTTCCTCCATTTTCCTCCTCTTCCTCTTATTTGGCCTTTTGAAACAGGATCTCCTTATGTAGTTGAGGCCTGAACCCCCAAACCTTCTGTTTCAGCTTCCCAAATGCTTCATCCCTTTTTTTTTTTTCGTTTTTCTTTTGCAGTCCAGGGATCAAACTCAGGGAACCTCATGCTTGCTAGGCAGGTATAGTGAAACTAAGCTGCATCTCTGGTCCCCTTATTTTTTTCACACAATTACAGACATTATTATTTTTAAGTTTTCCCCATAAACATTCATTTTTTAGTAACTAAATATCTATACATTCATAAATAAAACTAATAGCCAGGTGTGGTGGTACAGTTGTAATCTCAACACTCAGGAGGCTGAGGTTGTAGGACCACTGAGAGTTGAGGCCAGCCTAGGCCATAACAGGGAGTTCAAGGCCAGCGTGAAATACATGGCAAGACCCTGTCTCAAAAAAAAAGAAAAGAAGAAACACAAAATAAATTGGGTGTGGGGATGCACTCCCATAATCCCAGCACTTCCAGAGCCTAAGGCAGGAAGACTGCAAGGTCAAGCCCAGACTGGGTGACTTAGCAAGATACTGTCTCCAGAAAAAAACAAAAAACAAAAAACAACAAATCTTTAAAAGGCCAGAGGACATCAACTTTGACAATTCCATTCTCAAAATACATCATTATTGTGAAGAAAAAAATACTTAAAGTGCATTATATTGGTCCTTGACTTCTACATGTGTGAACTTTAAACATCTAGAAAGACTAGATGTTTCCAGTAAGAACTGAAAATGTCTTATATGTATAGTGGCATTGAATAAATTGCACACATATACTTAACAAAGGCTAAATTTTAAAGTATCATCTAAATAGGAACACTCTCCACTAGAGCACTTTCTCCTTTCCATCTTTTTGAACCCAGGGGACATATATATGGATATGTAATACTTAGAGGGGCTTTAATAATTTCACTTCCTAAGTAGTTTTAAGAACATTCTTTCTAATAAATTTTAACACAAAGTGTACTCAACATGTTAGTTTACTAATTCTACTGTCATACACTGGCAACCTCGTTAACATCTAGAAAGACTAGATGTAAATTAGGACTAGTTTGTCCTTTATATACAAATATATACACAGGAAAGTAAAACAAAATGCACAGACAGAAGGGACAGTGGTCAACCGCACTTCACCTAAGCCGCATTGATTTAGAGCCCTTTGTACTTTCTTTTCCTCCTCCCTCTCTAGCACAAATATGCCTACTGCTCAGATCAATGGTTTGGTCATTCCATTTCCTAAAGACTATTAATTTTAACAAAAGGATATCTACAAAATGTGTTGTTACTACCTCTACTTTTAACATACTTTGTGCACTTCTAAACATCTAGAAAGACTGGGTGTTTCAAATATGGACTCGTTTGTCCACTATATACATAGTAGTGTTGCATAAACTACACACATGTAATAATGGTTATATCTGAAAGTGTCTTCTAACTAGGAGCATTTTGGCCTAGAATCATTTCTTACCATTTCTTATTTCCTTGTCATTTGTGATTGAGGCACATATGTCACTCAAATGTGACTTTACAATTACACTTCCAAAATTAACTTTTCAGAAGACAGCCTTTCTATGAATTTTAACACAAAGTACACAAAATGTAGTAGTTTACTAACCCGACTTATGTCATACATTGTCAACCTCTTTAATATCTAGAGACTAGATAGTATAAAATTAGGACTCGTGTGTCCAGTATATGCAATATATATACAGTATAGAAAAGTTAAGTGAAATGCATCTAACATAAAAGCAATGTCAGCTGAAATTTTCTACTATGTACTTAGCAAAACACCTTTCACAATTTCTTCCGTCCCACCTCCTTGGAGAAAATGCTGGCTATTCATGAGGTGCAGGAGGGGAAGTACGAAGAGAGGGAGGTTACAGGAGTTCAGATTGTCTTGCTGTTGTTCTATATGTACATTTTAGTTAAATATTGCTGGGTATTAAAGGATAAGTCCTAACTGCCCTAATTATGTTAGAAATAGCAAACTAGTTTTTAGGAAGAACTGTCTTCTGGAAGTGACCTTTGTTAAAGCCACCTCTTGAAGCTAGATGTGGTTCTGAACTTAAGTCACTGAAGTGAAGGGGGAAAAGGGTGGGTGAGGGTGGTGAGGGCTCTCTGCTAGATGTCCATATCTGGAAGATAATCTTAGACTATAACCGTAGCCCTGTGGGTGTATTTTTTGATAAAGTACTTGGGCATATTGTGCACTTAGTTCATACTCTATTACACAGCATCTGAGCTTTACAGATGCCAAGGGTGACAGTGTACCAGTGAGTTAGACCACATTTAAGTATCTTTTTGTTGTAATTGATAAGAAAGATGCATCCTGGACTTATAATTGTTACACCTCTAGGCAGTGCGTGTCAGAACTCATCACTAGGCTGGCAGCGGAGGGGCAGAAATAAGCACACAGGGAGAGATGTGAGCAAAGTGTTCAGATTTACATTTTGATGAGAGGAATCAGTGTCTTCTAGTTGTCCTGTAGAAATACATTAATAATTTAGTTGGAATATGCCTTCTTGCTAATATCTTAATAGTAAAGATAACTCTGACACATGGCAAAGAAAAAGGAAAAGAAAAAGAAAAAGGCCAGAGGGCTGGGAATTTAGCTCAGTGGTCCGCTGCCTGCCTTGCAAGCCCAAGGATTGGAGTTTGATCCCCAGTCCCTGGTACAAAAAAAAAAAAAAGGCTAGAGATCCCAGCATGGTGATACACTCCTATAATACATAATGATACCCTGTCTTAAAAAATAAATAAATAAAAAATTTCAAAAGGCTAGAGATGTAGCTCAGTCTCAAGAGATGGGTTCACTCTCCAGTACCACCCCCCCCAAACCCAACAGTACCACAACAAAAAATAAAGATTGGTGAGCATATGGAAACATTTGAACCTCGCATGTTGGTAGGAATATAAAATGGTGGAGCTGTTATGAGAATTCCTCAAAAAAATTAAAAACAAAGCTGTATGACTCAGCAGTTCACTTCTAGGTATACACAAAAAGAACGAAAAAGTAGGGTCTTGAGCTATTTTCACATCCCTGTTCACAGCAGCACTATTCATAATAGCCAAGAAACGGAAATAGCCAAATGTTATTGAATGAATAGATAAACAAAATGTAGTATATTATGAAGAGGATGAGAATGTCATCTCCAAAATATACTTCTTTGGCATATTGATTATGTTGAGCTGAAGGCAACTGAAGGAACAGCAGATGCTGGGTGTAGTGATACATGCCTGTAATACCAGCTCTCAGAAGACTGAGGCAAGAATGTGAGTTTGAGGCCAGCTTGGGCTACATAGCAAGTCTGAGACCAATGTGGACTACACAATGAGACCCTGTAACAAAAGGATGGGGAGGAGAGAAAGAGAGGGAAAGCGGAGAGGGGAGAGGGGACAGGGCAGAGAGGAGAGGGGAGGGAGAGAGAGAGAAAATGAATATGAATGAATGAAAATAAACAGTGGATACAAAAAGGGCTCTCTCTCCCTTTCTGCCTTAAAGCAGTGCATAAAATTTTCTCCTGGATGTTATTTTGTTTGTTTGTGTGTGGTTTTTTTTTTGGTACCGGGGATTGAACTCGGATCCTTGCGCTTGCAAGGCAGGCCACCGAACCGCTGAGCTAAATCCCCGGCCCCCTGGATGATATTTTTATCATCAGAGATAGGGGATTCTATACAGAGATGTATCTTTACAATCTTTACTAAAATAATTTTTATCTTCCATTAGCCTTCCCCATTTATTTGCTACTCACTTTCCCATAATTTACTTACTGTAAAAGCCTGTCTATTCATTCCATAATTTATCCCCCCCATATTACTTAATCTATTAATGGCAAATTTGAATGCATTTTCTCCTGTAAATCTGTCTTTTGTCAATTTAAATCATAGGCTTCAGGTATAAAAGAGGAAAGAAGAAAAGGTTTGTCCTCTACAGTGGACTGCTATTTAGCCTTAAAAGGGAAGGAAAAGCTAGGTACAGTGACGCACGCCTAAAGTCCCACCTACTCAAAAGGCAAGGGAGACTGCTTAGTGGTGTGCATGAGTTTAAGACCAGTATGGACAACAGAGCAAGATGTTGTCTCGAAAAGAAAAAGAAAAAGAAAGCCAAGCATAATGATGGACAAGTGTAATTCCAGCACTCAGGAAGCTAAGAAAGGAAGATCATGAGTTGGAGGGAGGTCAGCCTGGGTTACACAGTCCAGGCTCAAGGTCAGCCTGGACTACATAGTAAGACTCTGTGTAGGAAAAAAAAAATTCTGACACATGATAAAACACAGATAAACCCTGAGGATATTATGTTACATGAAATAATCTTGTAACAAAAAGAAAAATACCACATGATCCTACATGTATGAGGTACCTACAGCAGTGAAATAATAGAAAGTAGAATGGTGACTGCCAGGGACCAAGGGAGGGAAAAATAAGGAATCACTTAGTGGGTATAAATCTTTAGTTTTGCTAAACAAACTAACAAAAAAAAATTTTGGTTTTGCAAGAAGAAAATGTTCTAAGGCACAATGTACAATTTAGCTTGCCTGAGCTGTACTGAGTGAAAAACTGCCTAAAGTTACATATAAAACATACAATAATTGATGTATACAGGTAACAGAAATTCCTTTTTATTGTAACATAGGGCTGTCTAAACCAAGGGCCACAAGTTGGACATGCTTATTTAATAACAATAAACATAGGCCAGGGATTTAGCTCAGTGATGCCACCACCTGCCTCACAAGTGCAAGGTTCACAGTTTGATCCCTAGTACAAAAAATAAACAACTGTCTTCACGCAGGCAGCTAGGTAATTACGTGTTATCTATAACCAAGTTGCACAAGTGCATGAAACATGTAATAATGAGTTTCAGTATGGCTGTGTGTGGCAGGCACTCTTTCCCCTACATATTCTTCCACTGTTCCCTACACAGCCTGTATTCAAGAACTGCACAATCAAGTCATAAAAAAACATGGCTAAAAACAATCTCTTAATAATGTTAGAAGTTTATCATCTTAACAGCTGTGCATGGCCACACACAGTCCACTTCTGTTCTACAAACTGGTTATATAATAATATGAATATACTTAATACTACAAAACTTAGAAATGATAAGGTAGTAGATTGTTATGTATTTTTAATACAAATGATCTTAAAAATATTAAATGAGGTTAAAATGACATTGTGTCTAAATTTTTAAATTATGTATAAATTCTAATACTTACCTACACTGCTGAGAAACATAGTAAGATAAAGAATCCTAATAGATCTCCATCTGCTCTTATAATTCTCTTGAGTTTCTATAATGTCCCATTCTCTAGCAGTAAAGAAAATAATACATATTAAGCATCCATACTCTGAAATTCTAGAATCCAAAATGCTCCAAAATCTGAAACTTTTTGAGCACTGACACACCACAGGTGGAAAAATCCTATACCTGCCCTCCTATGACAGGCTACAGTAAAAAATGTCAATCCCAGGTATGAAAAACAAAAATACAAGTGCACTAAAAAATACTGTATAAAATTACCTTCAAATATTTCAAAATAATTTTTTTTAAATTCCAAAATCCAAAATCTGAAACACTTCTGGTTCCAAGAATTTCAGATAAATTTACAAGGGCTGCACATCCCTTATCTCATTCTGAGCAGACTTTTCTGCTAATCATTTTATTTTCTCTTCCCTAAAAAGCCATAAAAATGATATAACGGGTATAAATTTACTAATATTCATTTCTGCTGCACTGATTTATCCACAAATAAGCATTACTTTTTAAATTTTATGACTGTATTTATGCATCATTGTATATACCTAAACACAAGGTACCTTTAAAAAGCAAAACAGTTTTCAAAGCAATTGTTTAGTTGGCATGAACAAATTTATTAATCGAGAGTGTTGAAATATGTCAATCTAACAAAATGAATAAACCTGGATGAAATGAAGCTCAGAGTAAGGAAAAAAAGTCTTTTTTTAAGAAGGCTTAATTTGGATAGAGTTACTAAATGTGTAGTGGACCATTAAGACGACATTTAATATGGTTAAATGTAGAGTTATGACCCAAGAATCCTGCAATCTGTCTGGAAAACAAAAACCAAGAAGAATCAAACAGGATTCTGAGACATCCAAATGTCATATCTGTGCCCTCAACTTACACACTTAATCTAATAAGAGATCTTTAGCCCTCTTCAGGGTCGTCTAACTAGACATATTTTTATCAAGACAGAGACATGATGTCAAAGCCCTGGCAAACTAGAATCCCTAAAATAAATCTGGGGGAAGAGAGCTTGCTGAGAGCAACAGGAGCTGGTGACAGATTTCAAAATCTCAGGAATAGAATAGGCAGAAAAACTAGAAAACCAACATAAATGATTTTAAAGTATAGCAAAGCAAAATAAATTAGTATGGAAGCTAACAGTTCCAAATGTGTGGATAGGCCTGGAGAATATCACTCTATCAAAACAGATTTCAGTACTGATGTCATTTTAATAATCTAAAGACAAAGTTGTATTCAATATATCTTGTTGAGTAAATGAGGAACCAGAGAAATACATTTTCCAAAGGGTCTCAATCATAGATTAAAATAAAAATTTGGTACTGAAAGAGATAAATAAGCAAAACATAATTGAGCCAGGTTAACTGTGTATTCAAGTTAATTTACTTGATACAACTATTGTTTCAAATAAAATGATTTTATTTTCCTCCACCTTTTTTTTTTTTTTTTTTTTTTTGGTAGCAGGGATTGAACTTGGAACTTTGGGCTTGCGAGGCAGGCAAGCAGAACCACTGAGCTAAATCCCCAGCTTAATTTTCCCAAAGTTAAAAATACATACCTAAGTGTGAAACAAAGTACAAATGTTTCTGAAGTACTATCAATAAATTAGGATCAGTTTTAAAAATTATATAAATCAGGGCCGGGGATTTAGCTCAGTGGTTCCAAGGCCTGCCTCACAAGCGCAAGGTCCCGAGTTGGATCCTACCAAAAAAAAAAAAAAATTAAATGGACCAAAATATTGACATGTTATCCCTTCGAAGATTAAAACTTTTTAATCTGTACATTAAACACAGGACAACAGGGAGCCCATTTTGGACAGGTTTATTTGCCATCAAAATAGCTAGAGGTATTAGGCAATTACTTAGACTGGTATCTTCAAGTACCGATTAAAACCATTTTGGAACTTTTAATTAACAAATGTGGAAAGCAATCAGCTGTACAGAGCTAACAAAATGCACTGGCGTAGGTGCTGTAATATTGCGACAGTTAAAGTCAAAAAGGTACCTCGGGTTTCACCAACATCTCTGTAAAACGAGCAAAAAGGAGTCGGAAGTAGCTAAGAAGTTCTCAGACAACAGCGTCAAGACTGCACAGAACACTTATCTGGCGATGGCTGCCTCTACCAACGAACAAATGCCAACTTCTCTGGTGAGCTGCACGGATTTATGACACCAGTTTCTAATCAGCTCACCAGGAGGTTTCTTTGGAAGAATCCCATACCCTCTTGGGAACGCCTACGGTCTGCTGTCAATTCTCAGCTATTAGTCAACTTATTTATTTTGCCTGTCCTGCGTTTCTTTTAGGTTGAGAACCCGCATCACGGGCTCACCGACCCGCGCAGCAAGGTGCCCGTAGTAGGGAGACACTCTGGGCTCTGTCACCGGCAGCTGCCAGGGAGCCTTCAGGCAGTGAGGGTTCTGCCCAGGAAGGGCCGGGTGTCCCTCTACCAGCACCATCTCACCTGCTTCCGGATGTGTGGTCGCCTATGAGCGGTTCACATTCAGCCTCTACCCCTAGGTTCGCCATAGTTAAAGCCCCACAGGTCCGCAACACCCAGCCTTTTCTACCGCTCCCACTGTCCGCGAGTGCGCGCGTGCCCACTGCGGCCGGAAGTGGGCGGGGCGCCCCGAGGTCAGGGGCGGAGTCGCGCGGAGGCGGGTTACCCACGGGCAGAAAGGGGTAGGGGCGGGGC